CGGACTCCGTCCGGCGGCCGCCAGAGCCGCTGGCCGCCGCCGGTCCGCAGCTGTCCGAGCTGGGACGCTCCGTCAGGGTGCCGCGCAAGACGGCCGGCGCCGCGCTGGCGCTCACCTGCCCCGGTCAGAGCCAGCCGCCTCCGGTCAAACGGTAAGTGTCGACTCCGGAGAGCTACCCAGCCCCAGCCAGACGTCCGCGTTGTCGTATGTGTCGGGGCATTTGGCCGTCCTGCCGTCACCGGTGGCTCTGGTGTTTCTTGCCGTCCATCCGTGACTGCCTATGGTGACTGGCGCCATCTGGCGTCCGGCGGTAAACCGGTGCCAGTGGAAGGCTTCGACGTGGGAATCCAGCCTTGAGCTCGCGATCCAAAGTCTGACTCGGTATTCACATGTCCGTCAGTCGGTGCTTTCTGCGGTCAGTCCAGTCTGCGGACAGCATCCCCGCACGGTCACTGAAGTATGTTACTTCCTGTTGGTGCCAGAAGCTGGTTTGATCGGATCCTGCGACCTGGGAGTCCTCAGCCGTTCGGCTGATCATTCTCACCGGCGCGCGTCGGCTCGCCGCGCCCTCTGCGGGCATCGGACGGCGTCGCGGCCCTCCAGCGGCGCTCTAGCCCCGAGGAGGGCCTCGTGACGGGACTGGCGTCGGCGCGGCTCAGCTCCGGTCGCACGAGCTCGGCGCCGCCGCGCCCGGACGGCCTGGGCCCTGTCCCAGCTTCAGGAGGCGCGCCGCACCGGTCTGACCGCGGCCTGTCTGCAGAGCCCGTGTCGAGCTCGGCGCCCCAGTTCGCCAGCCGGAGCGACATCCAGTCGGCGCGCGGCGCGGTCGGCGACGCGCTGGCGCTGCCCGGCTCGGCCCAGGGGTACCCGGCGCCCACGTTCAGGTGCGCTGACCGGCCGGCGTCCTGTGTCGCTAGAGCCCGTCTCCAGCGGCCCTCCCAAGGTATCTGTCGAGTCGAAGGCGTACAACCTGCGCCACGGACGTCGCTCGGCCGTGGTGCTGCCCTGCAAGGCGCAGGCGTTCCCGGTGCCGCGCTTCAGGTGAGCTCCCTGTGGTGCCGGACGAGTCTTGCTTCAGGTGAGCTCCCTGCGGCGCCGGACGAGTCTTGCTTCAGGTGAGCTCCCTGTGGCGCCGGACGAGTCTCGCCTCAGGTGAGCTCCCTGCGGCGCCGGACGAGTCTCGCCTCAGGTGAGCTCCCTGCGGCGCCGGACGAGTCTCGCCTCAGGTGAGCTCCCTGCGGCGCCGGACGAGTCTCGCCTCAGGTGAGCTCCCTGCGGCGCCAGGCGAGTCCCGCCCCGCGCCCAGGCGGCCGGGGCAGCAGCAGCTGGTCACGGCCGCCGTCGTCGGCCGCGCGGTCTGCCCCCTGCGGAGGGCGTCACTGAGAGGCCGCCGCCCCGGACTCAGGCGTCAGTGGACGGGCCCGCCGGCAGCCGGTCCCAACATTCAGGAGGCGGTGATGCGACTGGGGCTGTCGCTCGGGCTGGACGTGTCGTGTTGTGTCCGCGCAGAGCCGGTGTCCAGCGCCGCTCCTAAGGTGCCCGACGGGAGCGAACGGGGCGATATTCTCCTTCCGGGCGGCGGCAGACGTCACCCCTGTCCCTGCCGGGGTCAGGGCTATCCGGTGCCCAGCTTCAGGTCAGTCTCTCCGGCCTCTCCGGCGCACGTGGTGCACGCCAAGGCCCGCCGGGCAGCGGTGCTCCTATCCCAACATGACGGCGCCGGGTCAGCGTGGCTTGAGGGGGACGATGTCCGGTCTTGCGCAGAGCCGGTCTCAAGCGGCGCCCCGAAGGTGCCTACTGGAACGATACTGTTCTCCCGCGCGGCCGCAGCCGTCACCCTGCCCTGCGGCGGGCAGGGGTACCCTGTGCCCACCTTCAGGTTAGTGCGAGCCGGCGCTGCGGCGGGCGTGGAGCAGCGGCGGGGCGGGCCGACGGCGGGGAAGCCTTCACCCCTGAGGGAGTGAGCGGGCGGGCCCCAGGCTGAGCTGGACGCCGCCCGGTGCCTCGCAGAGCCGGTGTCGAGCGCCGCGCCCCGGGTGCCGGTCGGCGCGCGCGGGGACGTGTTCTTTGTGGAGGCCGGCGCCGGCGCCACGCTGCCCTGCAGCGGCCAGGGCTTCCCCGTGCCCACCTTCAGGTGAGTGAGTCGGTCTCGGCCGTCGCCCGCCCTTGTCCGGAGACGGACGGCCGAGAGCTGCTGGCGGCTCCAGCCCCAGCCCGGTCACACGTCTGTGGGTCTGGCTGCCGGCGCCAGAGCGTTCAGTCTCGGGGTCGGCGCCCGGCCGCGCTGCCTTGCAGCAGTCAGGTTCCGCCGACGCCGAGCCCTGGTGAGTCCCGGCCGTGCTCCGGCGCCGATACTTGGTCCGGTTGGTTCCGCCCCCCCCCCCCTATCCCAACATTCGGGCGGCTGCGGGGGGCGTCTCCGGCCGGCCGCGGTGGTGACCTCCCGGTACGGACAGAGCCGGTGTCGAGCGGGCCGGCCAGCGTCACCGGCGCCCGCGGCGACCGACTGGACCTGGCCGCCGGCTCCGACGCCACGCTTCCCTGCAGGGGCCAGGGCCACCCGGTGCCCTCCTACAGGTACGGCACGGGGGAGGGGCAGGTTACGTCACAGGTCTGCTGCCTGTCTTTAGGCGGGCACGTCTCTCCTCTCTGGACGGTCGGCACGCGACTAGGGGCATCGGTATCTTCGGTGGCACGGTGGTTTGAAGAGGCTCTATCCCGACAGTTGGGTACGCTCCTCTCGCCCCTTCCAGTGTGACCACTCGGCGAGCGCCGTCTGGGAGGCCCCGGAGCCCTCAGATGCAAGGTCCAGACATCCGTGACGCTTGTTTGAAAGCTTTCTGGCTTAAAACGTTGAGTTGTTGAGGCTTCCGTCATAGGGGAACAGTAGTACTTCATACAAAACCACGGTGACAGATACAAGCGAATGACCGCTCCAGGAGTGTGGTCCCGGGGCCGACCCACGCGGAGCCGTCCGTTGATCGGGTGCTCCAGGGGCACTCCAAAACACTGGCTGCACGTGGTGCGTGACGCGGCGCAGGCCACGTGGTGCGCGTCGGGGCGCCACCAGACTGCAGTAGGCGCCGTCTGTTGGCAGAGCCGGTGGCCAGCTCGGCGCCCAGCCTGCCACTCGAGTCCAAATCGAACACGTTCGCGTTCTCGACGGGCCGGGCTCTGGGCCTGCCGTGCCGGGGCCAGGCGTACCCGGTGCCCGTGTTCAGGTGTGTGGTACCGGCCGGCTGGGTCACTGGAGGTCGGAGCAGTCCTCGACCGCGGACGGCCTGCAGCGGCGGCCGCCGCTGACCGCCGGCCTCCGCACGTGCGCTCCACGACACGGGGCGAGCTCACACGCCGGCTCTTAGACGCGCGCTGGATCGGGCCGGGCTGGGCCCGAGCTGTGTGGCTGTGGCGGCGGCTCAGCCCCGGCGCCTGATGTGCTGACGGAGGCCGCGGCGGCCCGGCGGCAGACCCCGTCCTCAGAACGCCCTCGTCAGTGCCCAGGTCACTGAGTGGGGCGGGGCAGCATAGAGGGGGGGGGGGGCATGCTCTCACGCGGCCCGTGCCTGGCGCAGAACCGGTGAGCGGCACGGCGCCCAAGTTCGCGCGCGAGACCAAGCGGGAGACGCTGGAGCGGCGGCGCGGCCGCGGCCTGCGCATCGCCTGCGCCGCCCAGGCCTCCCCGGTGCCGAGCTTCAGGTGAGCGGCGCGGTTCGGCGAGCGACGGCGCGGGACGCCGGCGGCCCGGCTGCGGGGAGGGTCGGGGTCCGGACCGGGTACAGGCCGTCAGTGAGCGGCGGACGGTGTGCTGCGCGCAGAGCCGAGGTCGGCGGCGGCGCCGCGCCTGCTCGGCGAGCGGCTGCGGCTGCGGGCTGCGGCGCAGCGGTCGGTGGCGGTGCTGGACTGCAGCGGCCAGGCGTCCCCGCCGCCCGTACACAGGTAGGAGCTGCTGCGGCAGGCGGCCGGTGTCCTGCTGAGGCTGGCCTGGCCAGAGAAAGGCAGGTACGGCCAGCGCGGTGACCCAGTGCTGATAGATCCGTGGCGTGGAGGGAGCTGCAATGTCACGTCTCGCATGGTTGGTCTAGTCGTGGTCTGGAAGCAACGGCTGAGCGGTCCGTTCGGCACGACGACGCCATCTATTGCTGGCGACTGGGAAACTGGACTTAAGGTCGGTGGTTGAAGCAGTGATTCCTGCCTGTGGAGGGAGCTCTGAAGTCAGAATATTGAATTGGCTTCGCAGTGAAGAATCTGCTTACGACATTTGGGACATCAAATCCGTCTTCTCAAAGGTCGCCCGACGTTCGTACAATGGCTAGTTTCTAACGCTGGGCCACCGGCCTCGTGAGGATCAAGTGAAAACGCCTTCCATGCATGACGTATTGCGTGTTCGTGGCCAACCACAAACCTCACAACACCCGACAACCAGCGATGCACTTGGTCGGGACGGCGTGCGACAACAGTGCGCCTGAAAAGGGCAGCGATTCTGAAGAGCAGACGGACGGTGGCGCGGCTGGCTGGCCGCCGGCGCCGACCGCGGCCCGGGCCGTACCCTCTCCCAACATTCTCGGGCGTGCGGCCCCGAGTGCCGACGCTGGCCGCTGGTGCGCGCAGAGCCGGTGTCCGGCGCCGCGCCGCGCGTCCCCCCGGACGCGCGCGGCAACATCTACAGCTTCCCGGCGGGTGCCGCCGTCACACTGTCGGGCCGCGGCCAGGGGTACCCGGTGCCCGCGTTCAGGTACGTCTGGCGGGCGAGCAGTCGGGCTGGACCGCGCCGCGCTGTCCGCAGAGCCCGTGTCGAGCGCCGCGCCCCGGCTGCCGGCCGGATCCAAGTCGGACTCGTTCGCGTTCGCGTCCGGCGGCCCGCTGACTCTGCCGTGCCCGGGCCAGGCGTTCCCGGCGCCCCGGTTCAGGTGGGTCTCGCCCGTCCCGACCCCGGCGTTCGGGTGGGCTCCGCGGCCCCGGCGCGGCCGGCTGCTGACCTGACGCGGCGTCCTGGGCCGTAGAGCCGAGCGGCAGCAGCGCGCCCCGCCTGGCGGCCACACAGAGGAACTACGAGTTTGTCCGCGGTCCGGCGCAGGTGGCGCTGGTGATGTCCTGTGACGCGCAGTCGCACCCGCCGCCAGCACACAGGTAATGGGCGCGCCGGCGTCCGGGCGCGGCCCACCGCAGGTAAAGAGGGCCGCGCCGCTGCTTCGTGGAGCTGAAGTGCAGGTGAGCTGTCAGACAACATGGTGGGCATTTCATCCGTTGTAGTGCCATAACACCAGCCTCTTCAGATCAGCCTCATCTTCGTAAGGTATTGCATGCATGAAGTTAAGCGGTGGCCTACCGTTGTCGGATCGATCATATCCGCGGAAATTACGCGCAATAGATCTACTGCCGAACAGCTGACATCAAAAGCAGGTGCAGTGGAGCCCAGATCAGGCGCCGTGCTGATGAACGGACGGTGCGGGCGCCGGACGCCGGCCGGGGGGGGGGGGGGGGCGACAGCGGCGACGACGGGTGACGGGCGCGTCTGCCGCAGAGCCCGGCTCGGCCGGCGCGCCGCGCGTCTCCGGCGAGCGTTTTCTGTTCCGCTCGCCGCCGCGGCGGGCCGACACTACCCTGCAATGCAGGGCGCAGGCCTCCCCGCTGCCCGTGTATAGGTACGCCGCTCGTGCCGGGGCCCGGCGGCCCGCCAGCGTGGGATGCCGGGCGCGTGACGTGTCTCGAGAGTTGGCTCGCCGGGTGTGGGGGCAGGGGGAGGGGACGGTTCTCGGGTTGAGCCGCGCTATGCAGGCGGTGTACGCAGACCTGTCTGTTCCGCTCTGTCCCTGGTTTTGCAGGCCGCTCATGGAAAGCACGCTCCGTGGGCTGGCCTGGGCGGCGCCACGCCGCTAGCATGGCCCCGGGGCACCGCGGGAGCTGCCGTCTAGCGGTGAGTGGCCAACTTACTCTTAGAACGCTCCCGCTTGGCGGCGCGCATGTCGGCCGCCTGCCCGGTGCCCCGCGGCTGTCTGCTGCCGGCATGGCGCCCGACCCGACCTGGCCCCGCACGTCGGCGGCGGGAGCTCGGGCGCTTGGCCTTTTGTGGTTGTCGCCTGCTTTTTAGTGGCTTCGACCCCCATCAGTTGTATGGTGCAGCTGCTGCTGTCTCGCGATTTTAGATGTGGTGGCAGTGTTGGGCTGTGGAGCAGCCGGGCTGGGGCGGGCAGCGGTGCGCTCCTGGCGCGCGGGCGGCTGCTAGTCTCTGGCGCGCACCGTCAGTCCCCGGTGATGCCACACCGGCGCCGCGCCCGCTGGCCGAGCCGCCGCCCGCCGCTGGCGTCGCCGCGTCCGACGGCTCGCTCCTCCGAGCAGCGCGCGCGCGCGCGCGCGCTGACGGCCGGCCGGGCCGCTGTGGGCAGGCCGGTCCGTCGGCGCACGGTGAGTGGAGCCCGCTGTGTGCTGTGCGGGGTGAGAGCAGCAGACCTGCGCTGTGCACGCGCACTCGGGACGGTACGTGGGCCGCCCGCGGACGGTCGGTGGTCGCGCCTGCCGTCTTACTGCCGGCGGCCAGGTGACGTGCGGGGGCTAGTGCTGTCCTTCATCTCATTATCGTGCTCATGCCTCATTGTGTTGCTCATGTGGTTGTTCGATGTTTGTGTATTTTTTACGTATTGCCGTGGCCAGTGTCGCGATTTTTGTCCTTCGCCGCTGCGCTCTCCTGCCAGCGGTCCTGCTAATCATCTGCAGCGCTCCTGTCCACGTATGCGATACCGCCGCCGCTGTGTGCGGGAGCTGTGCCGTCCGCTCGGTCCACATGTGCCGCGTCCGGCGGGCCTGCCCAGTCCGGTCCTGGGCCGGTGGCCCGGCCGGTGCGCCGCCGCCAGCCGCCGCCCGTCAGCCGCCGCCGTTCGCCGCCAGGTGGTTCAAGTTCGACGAGGGCAGCTCGCGCCGCCGCCCGGTGCCGCTGGACGACCGCGTGCGCCAGGTGGCCGGCACGCTCATCATCCGCGAGGCGCGCGTCGCCGACTCTGGCAAGTACCTGTGCGAGGTCAACAACACCGTCGGTGGCGAGAGCGTCGAGACTGTGCTCACCGTCACGGGTGAGTGTGGTGGCGGCGCCGCCTCCTGCCGCCGCCGACGGACGCCGCCGACAGGCACCCGCAGCCACACGCGTGCTGCGCCGAACGTTAGCTCCCAGTCAGCCACATACTGCTGTGTAGCGCAGGAGACGGCCACGCCGGGACTTTCAAACTCTCAATGATCCCTGCCGTGGAGCGTGGAGCTGCGACGTTGCGTGCCCAGGTGGGACTGTGCAGTGCCGTCATAGGCGTCAGCAAGAACATGCATCACTTGTGTGCTTGTGGAAAGCAACTGTGAAGTGAAACCAATTGGTGTTCTGCATCCGAGTTGACTGCACCATGGCAAAGTCACGAGTGCGGTGTGCGTGGTGCGCGCGCCCGGCTCTGGCGTCGCGTTCCTCCCGGGAGTCGTTGTGTACGTGGTGCGCCTCTTTTCAGCGCCGCTGTCGTCCAGCATCACGCCGCAGTCCCAGGTGGTCGACTTCGGCAAGCCGGCCCAGTTCACCTGCGCCTACAAGGGCAACCCCGTCAAGACCGTGTACTGGATGAAGGACGGCGTCAAACTAGGTAGGGTCCCACCGCGGCGCCGCCAGACACTGACCCTTATCCCGATGTGTCTGAAATGTACCGCCGGTGTGATGCGGTCAAGCCGTGCCGAGTTCGCCGTGGTCAGGTGTCGCCTCATGGGACAGTTTTTCCCGGCGCGCCCGCCCCATGGCGACCACCTCGACGACCTTTGAGGCTTACGTTAGCGAGAGCCCTCCGACAGGGGTGCGAGAGCCCTCGCAGGCTAACGAGTGTCCTCAAACAACAACTTACGAATTTCGTCTGACACTGCGTACCATTGATGTATGAACTTGTTGCGATCTATCACAAATCCGTATGCTTGTTAGGGATTATCATTTTTCGTGGATTTTCCATCGCGGAAGGGATTCTTCAGAATATGTGAGAACATCAAAACAAAAATATTTAGTGTTAGCTAGTTGCATAAGCATCAGGAGATTGTAACAGTATTGAACAGAGCTGCTGTCGGCGGGGCCTGTCCGTTGTCCACCCCCGCCCACGTGGCCGGCGCGAGTGTGGCACGGCCGTGACGGCCGCGCGTGTCGCTTCCGCTGCAGATACGCACGAGCCGACGCTGTCCATCAGTAGCGTGACCAAGGCCGACAAGGGCATGTACCAGTGCTTCGTGACGAACGACCAGGAGAGCGCACAGGCTACCGCGGAGCTCAGGCTGGGCGGCAAATGTGAGTGCGAGCCCGGCCGACGCGCGCCCGGCGGGCCGCTGGTCCGGGGCAGGGACGGTAACCGCCGCGTCCGCGGAGGGCAGGCCGAGGGTGCCGGGAGGTCAGCGCTTTCCGCTCCGAGCGATCTCCGCCGTCGTGACAGGGGGAAGCAGACGCCGCTTACCTCGCACGAAGCCACCGCTGGTGACGCCTTCCACGCGTTGAGCGGCTGTTGAGTTCTGGGACCGTGTACCGTGCCGTGACCGTGTGCCGTGCTGGGACGCGCGTGCTCTTGCTGGGACACTCGCCGTGCTGGGACGCTCGCCGTGCTGAGACGTCCGCGGTCGGCAGTCGACCCGCCGGCGCTGGTCGAGGTGTTCGAGGCCAAGCAGCTGAAGCCGGGCCCGTCCATCCACCTCAAGTGCGCCGCCACCGGCGACCCCACCCCCGAGATCACCTGGTTCGTGGACGAGACCAAGATGAGCAGCCGGGACCGGTGAGTGGCGGCCGGCCGGTCGGCGCTGGCCGTGGTACAGCCGGGGCCGGCCGGTAGGTGGCCGCAGTGCTCGGTGAACGACGCCCGGCTCAGTCAGGCGCAGCTTCCGGATGACGGGCGGGGCCGGCCGCCGCAGTCAATGCCTCCGTTGCTGAGCGTGATGGACGGCATGAAGAAAGAGCCATTGTATGAATATTACCTACGTAGTATCCAGATCAGTCGTGCAGCAACAGATGTTGAGAGGATGGTGTGTGCGAGATGTTGAACGCCTCTGTGTTCTGCTCAGATTCCAGGTGGGCCAGACGGTGCGGTCGTCAGGCACGGTCGTCTCCTATCTGAACGTCACCAACATCCTCACCAACGACGGCGGACTCTTCAAATGCGAAGCCACATCCAAGGTGATGGAGAGCGCGTATGCCGATGGTTTGCGTCGCATCTCACGTACTGCTGGGGCCTACTGATGCCGATAGTGTGTTTCGCGAGGCCGAACCGCTGCACAGAAAGGCAGTGCACGAGATTGCAGCTGTTCCTCAGCGCTCTGTCACTGGCATTCCTTCACGCCGGACGTTTTGAGAGGGCAGCCACGGACCCCTGTGTGATCCCACCTGCGGTCCTGAGCCCGCCCCTCTGACCGTGTGCTGCGGCGTCGGCTTCAGGTGGGGTCGGTGGCACACCAGGCTCGTATCGACGTCCGCGGCGTGCCCTACGTCAAGCCGATGAAGAAGATGTCTGTGGTGGCGGGCCAGACGCTGATGAAGACCTGCCCCGTGGCCGGCCACCCCATCGACAGCATCACCTGGGAGATGAGTGAGTGGCCGGCTCGCCAGCCAGACACGTTCAGCCCACTCGGTGGCGGGCCTCCCCTGCCCCGTTGTCGGCATTCGTCTGAGAGGTGTCCGCCTCGTTCCCGCGTCGCACGTGAAGCGGGGGCCGACTCCGAGCCCGCGGAGCCGGCCAGTGACAGCCTGTTGTATACAGTATACGGCCAGTGACAGCCTGTTGTGGCGTGTCAGCGTCAGCTCGTCCCGCCCCCTCCGCACTCTCACCCGCCCCGCTGTCCCCGCAGACGGCCGGGTGCTGCCCAGCAACGCGCGCCAGAAGGTACACCCCAACGGCACCCTGTTCGTGGAGAATGTGCAGCGGCTGTCCGACCAGGGCACCTACACCTGCGTGGCGCGCAACTCGCGCGGCTACATGGCCAGAGCCAACCTGGAGGTGCTCGTCATGGGTGAGTACTCCGCCGGACAGGCCCCGGGGGTGGGAGCTACGGGGCCGGTCCGCCGCCGCCGCCGCCGCTGTTGCGCTCACAGCACTTCAGTGACGGAAAAATTACCTTTACTGACGATCAGGCACAGGTCGCTGGTCCAAATGTGTCAAAAGCAGCCACTTCTGAAGAATTTGTTCGGCTTTGTTTGACACGTCAGGCCGAACATTGTTCGATGCACCGAAGCAAAATGGTGTTAAGTCTCGGAAAGCTGAGAGAGCAAATCCGCTCCCACGTAATAAAAGTGGCCTAGTCCACATGGCGCGTGTCGGTCATGTCACACCAATGTGCGGGCGGTGGGTCGGCCCTCGTGTGCTTTAGTGTGTGTTAGGGGAGCTCCATTGATAATACATACGTCTATTGGGAAACAATTCTGATGGTCAAGTATATTGATGATCACGTAAGCCAGTGTAACGTACTTGCTGTCAGTTAATTCAAACGTACAATAGTTATGGTAACGAATGTCCGTCCTTAAAGCTGAGATGAAAAAGGTCATTATTTGTATAACACGGAACAAAAGCCCTCATGACGGAATTCCCTTGAAGGCATCAATGTGCGAGGCTGAGACTGCAGCCCGTCTCCTGTGTGTTGCGTGTGGCGATGACAGCCTGTTTCAGCCCCGGCCGGCCCGGGCGGCGCCGCGCCGCGCTGACCGCGGAGCGTCCGCAGAGCCCCCACAGATCGTTCCGTTCGCGTTCGACGCCAACCTGCGCGTCGGCGACCTGGTGTACGCCTCGTGCGTGGTGCGCTCCGGCGACTCGCCGCTGCAGCTGCGCTGGCTGCGCGGCGGCCGCCCGCTGGCCCGCTCGGCCGAGGTGGTCACGCGCGAGACCGGCGACCGGCTCAGTGTCCTGCTCATCGCGCACGTGCGCGCCCGCCACGTGGGCCGCTACACGTGCGAGGCCAGCAACGCGGCCGGCACGGCGCGCCACTCGGCGGCGCTCGTGGCTCGAGGTAGCGCCGCCCGCCCGTCCCCGGCCCGACCCGGTCCGCTCGCACGTGGTCCCGAGGATCCGGTGCTAACCGCCAGCCGCGCACCCGCCACCGCCACCTCGCTGGTCCCGGTGTCCGCCCGGTCGCCGGGTCCGCGGCCGCGCCGCGCTGCGGTCGGCATGGATGGGAGGATGCCTTCCGCCGCAGCCGGCACCTGCGTCCCTTCTCCGCACCAGCCCAGCCACGCCGTGTGTGACCGCCGCCGCTGCGTGAGCCCGCGTCCGTGGACGACAGGCAGACGGGTCCGGAATGTGGCCGACTGCCGCCGACGGCCCGATGTCCTCACCGTCCGCGTCTCGTGTGACGTCACGGTGATTTGACGGCGCGACCCTCGCCGCCGGACGTGCCCCGGCTCGGTTCAGACCAGCTGTGTAGTGATGCTGGTCGACTCGGCCCCGCGCCGGGACTGCGCGGGCGGGGCGCGCAGCCGGACCGTCCGCGCGCTCCGGCGGCTCTGTCTCCGCGCCGCCGAGCCTCAGTGTGCTGAGCAGGTGCTCCAGCGCTGCTCGGCGCGGGGCAGCCGCGCCGGCATCTGCGGTCGGACGCACCATCGACGTCCTGTCAACTGTGAAGGCGATCAGCTGGCTGCTGCTGCCGCCGGACCGGGCCCACCCGCCGCCCGCGACTGGACGCAGTCCGGCGGTAATGCCGTCAGGTCGGGAGGAAGCACGTTTGACGAAGTGTCACATACCGTCAGATTTGTAGCTTCAGACCGGTTCTGGCATCCATGGCCAATGTGACACCCAAGGGCTTTAGCTCAAGAGGTCGTGACGCAACATTCTCAAGCCTGATCACCCGCATTGACTCACTCATGTCGCAATGGACAGAATCGCTGACGGAGAGCCATGCAGTGCTCCTGCACCGACTCTGGCCTCCACACCGGCTTTCGACACGCAAGGAATGCACATTAGCTGACACACGTGGCGCCCAAGTGAAGTTGCATGCCGTTCTTCCCCGGCTATTCCACCACGCGGGCGGCCGGCCGCCGCGCGTTTAACCACGACAGAGTATGGGGCGTTTGGTGGCGTCCGCCGCCGTCGCCGCCGACCGAGTGTGGCGCCCCGAGCGTGGTGCGGCGCGGTGAGTGTCCCGCCTCGGGTTCGGCAGCGCCCGCAGCGGCGTGCGGTCTGTAGCTCGCCAGGCGTCTGCGCCCCGGTGCCGTCTGCCTGAGCGCCGCCTCCCCGCCGCCAGAGCCGCCGGAGATCATACCGTTCGGCAGGCAGGAGCCGCTCAGCGCCGGCCGCGAGGCCACGCTCATGTGCAACGCCTACAAGGGCGACACGCCGCTGACGCTCGTTTGGGAGTTCGAGGGCGGCCCGGTGGCGCGCGGCGGCGGCGTGCGTGTGATCCAGGCCGGGGCGCGCACCAGTCTGCTCACGGTCGAGTCGGCGGGCGCCGTGCACAGCGGCCTGTACACGTGCATCGCGTCCAACGCGGCCGGCCGGGCCGCCCACTCGGCTCGGCTCACGGTCAAGGGTCAGTGGCGCTGCTCGTCTATTCCCCTCCCCCGCGTGTGGCGCCATTGGTCCTTACCCTCCCCGTCCGCCTAAAATAGCAGCATATTCCTTGTCGTGCCAGGCTCCCCGGTATTTACGATTTAATCAAAAGGAGGAATAACACCCCGATCCTGTTCTCAGTCCTCACCCCTCCTCCGTTGGATACCCGATTGCCCTGACCGCGGCCTGTCCGCTTGACAGAGGCGCCCGAGATTGTTCCGTTCGCCGTGGACGCGCCGCTCAGCACCGGGGAGGACGTGGTCCTCACGTGCAGCGTCAGAAAGGGCGACACTCCTATGACTATATCGTGGAGCTTCGAGGGCCGCCCCGTGTCCGCGGACTCCGGAGCGCGCGTGCTGTCCGCCGGCTCGCGAGCCAGTATTCTGACGATCGAGTCGGTGGGAGCAGCGCACACAGGCCTCTTTACGTGCACAGCCACGAACGCGGTCGGCGAGGCGTCACACTCGGCACGGCTCACCGTCAGGGGTCAGTCATCCGCATGGCAAGCATCGCCGCAACCATCACATTCCCAATCAAACCTGTCTCTTTCACAATCCACCAGAATTATTCGCCGTCCTCTCCTGTCGTCCACGCCTTAGGGGATCAACGGTTCACGCCTGAAGGAAAGGGTTTTGATAGTTGCACGATGCTTTTGACAGAGGCTCCGGAGATCGTGCCGTTCGCCATGGAGGCGCCCCTGAGCACGGGCAGGGACGCAGCGCTCACCTGCAGCGTTTACAAGGGCGACACTCCCATGACCATTGCATGGAGCTTCAATGGCAAGCCTCTGACGAGCGCCATGGGAGTGCAGATTGTGACGGCCGGCTCCCGGACTAGTTTGATGTCGATCGAGTCAGTGGGCGCGGCACATAGCGGGCTGTACACGTGCACAGCCACGAACGCGGTCGGCGAGGCGTCACACTCGGCACGGCTCGTCGTCAAGGGTCAGTCATGCACATGTTGAGGGTCTCTTACTCCCGTATTCTGCTCACAAATCCTGACTCCTGGCGCTTGCACACGTCGACTCACCGGCCTTTCCCTGAAAAATCCCCTCCATTTGGATAGTAAAATCTGCGGTTGTTGACAGAGGCTCCGGAGATTGTTCCGTTCGCCATGGAGGCGCCTCTGAGCACGGGAGAGGACGCAGCTCTTGTATGCAGCGTCAAGAAAGGTGACGCCCCCATGACCATTGCATGGAGGTTCAATGGCAAGCCTCTGGCCAGCGCCATGGGAGTGCAGATTGTGCCCGCGGGCTCTCGCACTAGCGTGGTGACCATCAAGTCAGTGGGTGCGGCGCATAGCGGGCTGTACACGTGCATCAGCCACGAACGCGGGTCGGCGAGGCGTCACACTCGGCACGGCTCACCGTCAAGGGTTAGTCATCCGCAGTGGCAAGGGTGCCGGCCACGGACACATCTCGTTCAGAACACCTTGTCCCCACACCTCCATCATCCCCGATCCTTTCCTGGTCCTCTTCACAGATGCATATGCTGCAGCTGCGCAGAAAGGCTTCGTTAGGTTTAGCTGATGACAACGGGACGCACTTGACAGAGGCGCCCGAGATTGTTCCGTTCGCCGTGGACGCGCCGCTCAGCACCGGGGAGGACGTGGCCCTCACGTGCAGCGTCAAGAAAGGCGACACTCCCATGGTCATATCGTGGAGCTTCGACGACCGTCCCGTGTCCGCGGACTCCGGAGCGCGCGTGGTTGCCGTGGGCTCCCGTACCAGCGTGATGTCTATCGAGTCAGTGGGCGCGGCACATAGTGGGCTGTACACGTGCACAGCCACGAACGCGGTCGGCGAGGCGTCACACTCGGCACGGCTCACCGTCAAGGGTCAGTCAGCTGTGTGTCGTCCAGCATACCTATTCCGTGCGCGTGCACTTCACCAGATTCCTCCAGCATCCTCTCCCCGGCGGTGTCGGCATGTGAGGACCCGAGTCTCGGCTAAGCGTGCCTGACGGTAACCGGCTCCGGTCGGCAGAGGCTCCGGAGATCGTTCCGTTCGCCATGGAGGCGCCCCTGAGCACGGGCAGAGACGCCGCTCTGACCTGCAATGTCTTCAAGGGTGACACTCCCATGACCATTGCATGGAGCTTCAATGGCGAGCCTCTGACAAGCGACATGGGAGTACAGATTTTGGCCGCTGGATCTCGGACCAGTTTTCTGTCGATCGAGTCGGTGGGCGCGGCACATAGTGGGCTGTACACGTGCACAGCCACGAACGCGGTCGGCGAGGCGTCACACTCGGCACGGCTCACCGTCAAGGGTCAGTCATGCCCTTGTTGAGGGTCTCTTACTCCCGTTTTCTGTTAACAGATCCTTACTCCTGACGCTTGCACACTTGTGCAGCCGGCTCAGAATCCTTTTCGTGGTAAATCCCCTCCATTCGTCGGTAAAATCTGCGGTTGTTGACAGAGGCTCCGGAGATTGTTCCGTTCGCCACGGAGGCGCCCCTGAGCACGGGAGAAGACGCAGCCCTTGTGTGCAGTGTCAAGAAGGGTGACACTCCCATAACCATTGCATGGAGCTTCAATGGCAAGCCTCTGACAAGCGACATGGGAGTACAGATTTTGGCCGCTGGATCTCGGACCAGTTTTTTGTCGATCGAGTCAGTGGGCGCGGCACATAGTGGGCTGTACACGTGCACAGCCACGAACGCGGTCGGCGAGGCGTCACACTCGGCACGGCTCACCGTCAAGGGTCAGTCATGCACATGTTGAGGGTCTCTTACTCCCGTTTTCTGTTAACAGCTCCTTACTCCTGACGCTTGCACACTCGTGCAACCGGCTCAACATCCTTTTCGTGGCAAATCCTCTCCATTCGTCGGTAAAATCTGCGGTTGTTGACAGAGGCTCCGAAGATTGTTCCGTTCGCCATGGAGGCGCCTCTGAGTACGGGAGAGGACGCAGCCCTTGTGTGCAGCGTCAAGAAGGGTGACACTCCCATAACCATCGCATGGAGCTTCGATGGCAAGCCTCTGACAAGCGCCATGGGAGTGGAGATTGTGACGGCTGGATCCCGGACCAGCTTGTTGTCGATCGAGTCAGTGGGCGCGGCGCATAGTGGGCTGTACACGTGCACAGCCACGAACGCGGTCGGCGGTGCGTCACACTCGGCACGGCTCGCCGTCAAGGGTCAGTCATCCGCATGTCAGAGTGGCCGGTGCCCATATTCCATCTGAAAAACCTTTTTCCTGTGCTTCCCGGCGACCAGATTCCCCTCCCCCGCCATGTCTTGGATTAGACACCCGAGTCTCGGCTAAGCGTGCCTGACGGTAACCGGGTGCGGTCGGCAGAGGCTCCGGAGATCGTTCCGTTCGCCATGGAGGCGCCGCTGAGCGCGGGCAGAGACGCGACTCTGACCTGCAATGTCTACAAGGGTGACACGCCGATGACGCTGACGTGGACTTTCAACGGTGAACCAGTGACGGCCGACATGGGGGCCCGCGTGGTCGCCGTGGGTTCCCGTACCAGCGTGATGTCGATCGAGTCGGTGGGCGCGGCACACAGTGGGCTGTACACGTGCACAGCCACGAACGCGGTCGGCGAGGCGTCACACTCGGCACGGCTCACCGTCAAGGGTCAGTCATCTCCATGTTGAGGGTCTCTTACTCCCGTGTTCTGCTCACAAAGCCTTACTCCTGACGCTTGCATCCAGCGACTCATCATCCTTTTCCCGGAAAATCTCCTCCATTCGGACGGTAAAATTCGTGGTTATTTGGCAGAGGCTCCGGAGATTGTTCCGTTCGCCATGGAGGCGCCTCTGAGCACGGGAGAAGACGCAGCCCTTGTATGCAGCGTCAAGAAGGGCGACACTCCCATGACCATTGCATGGAGCTTCAATGGCAAGCCTCTGACGAGCTCCACGGGAGTGCAGATCGTAACGGCTGGCTCGCGGGCCAGTTTTCTTTCGATCGAGTCAGTGGGCGCGGCACATAGCGGGCTGTACACGTGCACAGCCACGAACGCGGTCGGCGAGGCGTCACACTCGGCACGGCTCGTCGTCAAGGGTCAGTCATCCGCATGGCAAGGGTCTGCTCACAAAACCTTGCTCCTCACACTTGCACACTCCTCCGACAGACTCAGCATCCTTTCCTCGGCAAGTCCCCTCCATTCGGGCGGTAAAATCCGTGGTTATTTGACAGAGGCTCCGGAGATCGTTCCGTTCGCCATGAAAGTGCACCGGCAGAGACAACTAAAATGGTTTGTTTGGCTTATCCTGATGACAAGTCGGCGCGTTCGACAGAGGCGCCCGAGATTGTTCCGTTCGCTGTGGACGCGCCGCTCAGCACCGGGGAAGACGCGGCTCTCATGTGCATCGTGAAGAAGGGTGACACGCCGATGGCCATATCGTGGAGCTTCGACGGACGTCCGTTGCCCACGGACTCCGGAGCGCGCGTGCTGTCCGCTGGCTCCCGTACCAGCGTGATGTCTATCGAGTCAGTGGGCGCGGCACACAGTGGGCTGTACACGTGCACAGCCACGAACGCGGTCGGCAAGGCGTCACACTCGGCGCGGCTCACCGTCAAGGGTCAGTCATGCACATGCTGAGGGTCTCTTACTCCCGTATTCTGCTCACGAATCCTGACTCCTCACGTTTGCAAACTCGTGTGATCGGCCCAGCATCCTTTCCTACCGCTTCCACCCCATCCGGGCGGTAACATCTGCGGTTGTTTGACAGAGGCTCCGGAGATTGTTCCGTTCGCCATGGAGGCGCCTCTGAGCACGGGAGAGGACGCTGCCCTAATATGCAGCGTCAAGAAGGGCGACACTCCCATGACTATTGCATGGAGCTTCAATGGCAAGCCTCTGACGAGCTACACGGGAGTGCAAGTTTCGGCTGTGGGCTCTCGCACTAGCGTGGTGACCATCGAGTCAGTGGGCGCGGCGCATAGTGGGCTGTACACGTGCACAGCCACGAACGCGGTCGGCGAGGGCGTCACACTCGGCACGGCTCACCGTCAAGGGTCAGTTATTCGCTTTCATGGACCATCCAACTTGTATTCGGCCCACAAAGGCTATCCTGACGTTTACCTTCCCGAAGTGTTTAAGTCCTGCAGCATCCTCTAGCCTGACATATTGCATCCCTTGAGGCGGCGAGGTCTGGTGGTGGGGCAGGCTCCGGAGGTTCTCCCGGTCGCCAGTGAGATACCATTGAGCACTGGCCGGAAGTCGGCCGACGTTGTGACTCGTAGGCTTCGCCCGGTAATGAAGCCTTGTCAGTTGCCAGGATAATGGTCCAGCGACTTAGGACAGGTGCTGAACAGGTTAGAACATCGTGTTAGAACTGGTTAACAGAATTTGGAATTCGCAATGCTGCTTACACAACCCCTTATCTGGAACGTGAAAGCGGTCTCGTCTAATGGTCTGACCTGCCCCGACTGGGTCGTGGATTTGAGCGTAGCTGCCTCCCGGGTCTTCCGCCGTCTTTTTACGACCGGGCGAGCAATTATGGCGCAAAACATCTGCATTCATTTTCAAACAGCCCAGAAGCAATCGCGCCGGAAACCTGAACGCCTCTCGGTATTGATTGGCTACTTAAGCTGTTGTCCCAAGCTCGGGGCCCTCTCAAGGTGCGCAACCACTGAGCCTCACCAAGCACACCTCGCCCGCTTCGTTACCAGTTGCAGTGCGCGTCCACCAGGCATGTTTTAGGCCGACTCGTTTGGAGGGAATTGCCGGCGGGAACGTTGCGGCCCCAGACTCTCCACTGGAGCGGGGTTTGTGGATGTGGATGTGATGTGGTTTGTGTTGTGGAGCGGGACAGTCCGTCTCCATCGGACGGCCTCGACGCTGGAGTCTCCGGTGGCTCCGAGCCATTCCAGCACCAGAGACGATCAAAGGCTTGGCTGCAGTCAGCTGATCTTTAAGTATTGGAGGGACTTCACTACCACACCCCTGATAACAGGCTAAAACGTTTCGGAGAAACGGAGAATTCGTCCACTCCTGACTCGGTTTGGATTATGAAGGAGAAGATTTGATTTGATTTATGAAGGAGAAGATTTGAGCTACGCTCAAATCCACGACCCAGTCGGGGCAGGCAGGTCAGAACCTGACTCGGTTTGGATTTATGAAGGATTATGCCACAGAGAGGATTCGCCTAGGAGATCTCCGTTGGTGGCCTCCCTGGCAATAACAGTTGAATTTCCCCCCCCCCCCCCCCCTTGAAAATGGACCTACAGATGTTATGACATGGACTGCGAGACAGTAGCTGCAAATAACGTTTTTCAACCGCTGAGCCGGCCGGATGGCCGTCGCCGGGAGCATGACGTCACAAGTCACCGAGGGATCGCCGGTTGACCCGGTGCGACGCGTGGCCTGCTTTATCCAGTCGGCGAGGTCACATGACATCATGCGCAATACAACACGTGCTGCCCGGGGGCGGTATAAGCGGCAAAGAACTGACCTAGAGTAACGGTCAGGAGCGTAACGATCGAGCGGAAGGCGGCCAATTTTCTGCACCGGCATGTGATCTTTCACGTGAAAAAGTAGACTTCCGTGACGCCCGGGACTGGACTTTCGTCCAGTTCCGAGTGCAGCCCTCACCATCGGACCTGACCGGTGAGCCGTGCCGAAGCCTTCCGCAGCCGCTGTGTTTCGGCCAGTGGTTGAACCGGCTGGGACAGATGCGAGGGATGGTATCGGGTTCCCTGAGCTGTCTCAGGATGTCATACAAGGCGGCGCAGCCTGCACGGAGCGGAGCCGGAGCGGACCGAACGACGGTGTGGCGCTTGTGACGTTTTGTGACGCTCCGCCGCGTACGTCTTGCAGTGCCGCCGGATATATTTCCGTTCCCTGCGCTGGACGCGCTCAATGCCGGCGACGACGCCAGCCTGCAGTGTTACGTGTACAAGGGCGACGCGCCTATGACCATCGCCTGGACGTTCCACGGCAAGGACGTGTCCATGGAGCGCGAGTTCACCACGCAGGCGGTGGGCAAGCGGACCAAGATGCTGGTGATCCCGTCTGTCTCTCACGGACATTCGGGCACCTACACGTGCATCGCCACGAACGCCGCCGGCCGCACCAGTATTCCACCGACCTGGTGGTTCGGGGTCAGTCGGTGTTGCGTGTGGGAGATTGTAATACCTGCCTGTCGACCTTGATCCTTGTCACACCTTGATCTAACGATGCTATTCATGGCATGTGGCTCTTCCTCAAGCCGCCTCCATTTCCGCTTACGATGCGATAGGTTTCCCACTTTTGTGGTGCTGGCGTCCGTCGAAATTTCGTAGATTTTGTGAGCTGGATAATATATTTTTGGCGCGGCGGAAACATGGCCTGGTTTTTGATTCGTCGGTACGCCTCACATGAGGGGTGAAGCTGCGCGCACAGATGCGGCTTCCTATAGAAACTACCGGTATATACACCTACGAGGTATGTCGTCCAGGCGGTGGGTTATCGCCGTCTAAACGATGGATGGGTTTGAAGGCATTCAGCGGCAGCACTCGCATGCAATGTTTGGAGGATTAAGACTGCTGTCACTGGAGCCCCACGACGCACTCAGCGGTTGGGGGCGTCGTGGAGCTCCAGTGACAACAATATGTCTTCGCCTACCTCCCACCCCGGGCAGGAACGGCGGGCATCGCGGCGAGTGGGAACTGTCCCAGACGCGCGATGGCATCACTGTGCCACCGGCACGCGGAAGGATTGAGATTGGTCCGTCTTGCAGTGCCGCCGGAGATATTCGCGGTCCCTGCGCTGGACGCACTCAATGCCGGCGATGACGCCAGCCTCCAGTGTTACGTGTACAAGGGCGACACGCCTATGACCATCGCGTGGACGTTCCACGGCAAGGACGTCGCCATGGAGCGCGAGTTCACCACGCAGCTGGTGGGGGACAGGACAAATATCCTGGTGATCAAGTCCGTGTCCCACGGCCACTCGGGCACCTACACGTGCCGGGCCAAGAACGCGGCCGGCGTGACCCAGTACTCCACCGACCTGGTCGTCCGGGGTCAGTCGATATCGCGCCCAGCACCTTTCACCCCGACCCCCCTCCCTCCTTCCTGACCAGGTCAGTTCCAGCTCGCCTCCGGTATATTCACCGCGCCGCGTTGGCTGTCTCCCGTCGCCCCGCTGCTGTTGTCAGGGAGGTTCCGTTCGTATGCTTGGCCGCTCCTTGAAGGCCCGGGTCGGTGCCGGCGCTCCGGACGATGCCGTGGTTAGGCATGCGCCGGGTCTGTTTTCGAACGCAGGCTGTCCCATCTCCGGTCGACCGCGTCCTGTTCCGCAGCGTGCCGACCGCCAAAGGTGCTACACGGGAGAGATGGGGTGACTCGATCACAGCAGGAAATGATGGTCTCTGAAATGGGCTGTCGGAGGCCATGGCGTCACTGTCTTCAAAAATCGTCTTTGAAGGCGGAACACCGTGACTCCTGGAATGCTACACAAGTCCCATTACATTAGTTGTGTTTTATCATTTGCTTCCGTGCCCTTCTAACTACACCATTGAAAAATGAGCCGAACAAGTCACTCCTTCGAGCCAGGCTATGCTACTTGTGGTCCCCTGTGCAAACCCGGCAGCTTTGCATTGCAGTGCCGCCGGAGATTTTCCCGTTTCCGGCGCTGGACGCGCTCAGCGCCGGGGACGACGCCACGCTTCAGTGCTACGTCTTCAAGGGCGACACGCCCATGGTGATCAGCTGGACATTCCACGGCAAGGCCGTCTCCATGGAGCGCGAGTTCACCACGCTGGCGGCGGGCGACCGCACCAGAATACTGCTGATCAAGTCCGTGTCCCACGGCCACTCGGGCACCTACACGTGCATGGGCCAAGAACGCGGCCGGCGTGGCCCAGCAGTCGACCGCGCTGGTGGTGAAGGGTTAGTCCGGCGCGAAGTCCGGACGGATCGGGCGGTCCTCATTCCTCGTATTCGCTCCTGCCTTGTCATCATCCCGATGCCTCGTGATGCGATGCCGTGCCCTGCGCAGTACTCCCGTTATAATTTGAGGACAGGATGACAGATGTGTGATGCACCTTCTTACCGCAGCTTGTATGGCGATCCCT